AACACTTGAACAGGGCTAGAGTCTACAAAGGAGTTTTTTCTGCTTTAAAGATTTCTAATTAGGTAGAAACTGCTAGCAAAACATATGAAACTGCCTGTAATCAATTTGATTCTGTGCTGAATCTATATCAAACCAAGGGGTCATTTGTCAGTTGCTTTGACTGATTTCCCAACACATCAGTACAAATCAATTAAAAAACACCACCACCATAAAAAAGTTGGTTTAGATTTCCCTTCTGATTGCATTTGTGAAGCAGGAGAAGTAGAGTTTGATGTTTTAGGGCAGAGGGTGAGGACCAACCCTGAAGGACCTGCATTTTCATGCAGGTTGCATTGCATTGTCCAAACCAATTCCCTGCAACTCAGAACCAATTAGCAGTCTACTCTATCTGAGCTGCTCCCTGGTTTTTTATTTATTTTCATAAACACAGCCAAATTGTTACAGTTAATTACATTCTGCATACTGTTGACAGAGTTGAGTAATAGTGGAAAGAGGAAGCCACGAGAGTAGACCGAGTTATCTGCTTTCTTGTTATCATTTGCCTTCACTGCTTGAGGTTCCGCTCAGTTGTAACAAGTTCTCTTTTTTTAAGGGCTCACATCAGGGTTTGCTCTCTGCACTTGGCAACAGTCTTGTACAGCCTCTTCTTTGCCTTTCTAAATGCAAATGTTTAAGGATTACAAATTCGTTGCCTCCAAGGTTCTGCTTGCTACAGAAAGGACAGAGGATTGGGCTCATTCAGTAGTTGAGGGAAATGAATGAATGAATGAATGAATGAATGAACGGATGGATTGGATTGGATTGGATTGGATTTCTTACCCACCCTTCACCGATAAGGTCCCAGGATGAGTAACAGCAATTTAAAAATACAAAATCAGTTCACACAGTTCTCTCTCTATAGAGGGATATATATAATGGTAACCAATGCAGCTGTTTAAAATCAGGTGTTATGTGGGCTCTAAACTGAACCCCAGCATTCTGCATTTCGCATAAGTTGAAGTTTCTGAGTGATCTTCAAGGGTAGCTCCATTTAAATTGTATTGCAATAATCCAGTCTGAAAGTTACCCTAGCCTAGACTAAAGTAATCTCTGTCCAAAAGGTGCCAGAGCTGGCAAACCACCCAGAGCCTAAAATAGGCACTCCTAGTAACCTGAGCCTCCAATGACAATGTACTCCTCCATATTGCATTTTTGCATATGCTGCTATTTTGGATTTATGTCTCACATTGAGGGGGAGCCTGAGTTTATTTTTAATGCCCCAGAAGTCAAGTAGACTGGTTTATCTGCTACACCAGTTCAAAACTGTCCACATGGTGTCTGTGATTGCAAGAGTATGTGGTGCTTTGGTGAAGACATTAACACCACATGAAATTTATATTTATATTTATATTTATATTTATATTTATATTTATATTTATATTTATATTTATATTTATATTTATATTTATATTTATATTTATATTTATATTTATATTTATATTTATTTATCACTACCACCCACTCCAGAGAAGTGATTCCAGGAGGATAAGGAAGAATGTTACACCCAAAATTTACTGCCCAAGCTGCATCTGTAGCATTGCATTAAAGGGTATGAGGTTGGGTCATAAATCAGATTTCCCCTTTCTACAACATTCATACAATATGCTATATGAGAAGATAGACAGGAAGCCTTCAATGAGGTTAGGGTTCACCTTCCAGTTGACCATTTCATTGCATGGCAGCTGCGTGGATAGTGCCATTCTATAGCTTAGGTACTAGGAAGCAGGAGGTCAGAAATTTCCTGTTGCTGTTCTGTTCTAGTTTAAAAGAGACAACAAAGTTCTTGTTCCTGACCAATGATAATAAGCAATTGTTTTTGGCACTTGCTAAAAACTGCTTTATTCCAGTCAGGCACGTAACTTTAACCTGTCATCTTGATCCATGATAGTAATAAGCATAGGTGATTTATAATTGCTGGTTGTGTTTTTTTATTTAAACAACTCTTTAAAACATCACTTGATGTGTTGGTATTTTTAATTATTTGGGGGGGTTGTGTATTGCAAACCACTGTTAGGTCTTCTATTCTAATAAGTGTTATATAAAACTTGCGAAACAAATAAATAAATATTTCCCAGGAGGAGGGAGGAAGATGCAATGTCTTTGGCACTTGGCAATGGGGTGGGTACAACCATTCCTAAATCCATAAGCCAAATTAGAATTCTTCACTTACCTTGGCGACAAAAAAGCTCTTGCTATAATGAGGCATGTGCTTGGTTCTATTATTTGGGAAAATAATGACAATGCAAGAGGGTGTGTGTGTGTGTGTGTGTGTGTGTGTGTGTGTTATGTGTTAAAGGTTCCATCATTCTGCAGTATTTATCCAGGACCACCCAATGAAGAACATGCTGTCCTAGCAGTTTGCTGTTGCAGAGAAATTAGATGCTGAGAAATTCAGCCAGTGCTGCTTTGAGTCAAGGGATCCCAATTATTCTACATTTTAAATGGGCATGACCTATCACAGAAACAGCCCCTGACAGCAATATCAGTTATTTCAAGGGTCTGGGTCCCTCCACGGTCTCAATTTCTTTTTGTCACGTTATTATGAATACTCAATATGAAAGTCAAAAGTGTGGCACTTATAGAATCCCAAGTGTTGCTGAAAATAGAAAAATGTTCCCTTTTAATAATGTCATAGAGAGACACCACTGTGCCACAGAGACTTTCTGCTGGTGGCTGGGGAAGTGGAGTCCATAAAAATATGAAGCAGAATGAAAATTAGAAGCAGTCCTCCGCCACCTATTTATTCTGCAGTGGGGTTAGGGAGGGGAAAACCTTACAAAACTCCATTTCTAACACACGTTTACATTGTCATCCATGTATTACTTGCAAATCAGAACTATCTTTTTGAAAAGTGTTCACATTATACTTTCATTGAGCAACTCGTAAGGTAACTGGGATATTGTATCAATTTTGACAAGATAATCTATTCTCTTACGGTTGGCTGTTCTACATTTTAAAGGGAATTTCAAACAGAGAATAACAAAGAATGCCTTTTGATGTTCTTTTGTCTGGGGTGTGATTTCATTGGGATATGAGAAACTTGGGTTCTTTAGACACAGACTGAACACTTGTTGGGAGTCAGGTATAAGTTAGCTGACATTTGAAGCATCCTTATTTGGGAGGTACATTCAGCTGATGTAGCCCAGCACCCTCTGAATAGCCACAGGCTCCCCATCCCTGCTTTGCAATAAGGGAAAGGCCTTCTGCACCTCCTTGAGGGCACCTGTTCTTTGTCTTTTAAGGGACCGATTTCACATTGCACTTTGCCACTGAGCTGCAGTCCTTCCCCTCATAGTTCTGCCCTAAGCAGCCTTTATAAAAGTTGATTCACACAGCAATTCAGATTCAGAAAGATTATTTCCCACACTAGCTTCCATGACAACCACTTTCAAACAGGCTGATTAGTTTCCACACAGGTGATTCACTGTACTCTTCAAAGCAGCTATATTTCTCCTCCATACCTTAAGCATGACACCTATTCCAATCTATTGTCCTTTGCCTGCAAAATCATTCATGGAGCTGCAGCCTCACCTTCTAACTTTCCATAATCAGAAGTGTGCTCAAATGTGTTCTTCCACTCATGAAAGGCTCTTTGCTCCAGCAGGGACTTCCGCAAATGGAAGACAGTGTGTGATTCTCACAAATTCCACCATTTCTCTGTGCTGTCTCCCATAAAGTGTTCTTCTGGAATAAATTCAACAGAAATGGCCTCCTTCTGCCTCCCTTTCAGAGACACCTCCATGGGATTGAAAAGCCTTCTGTGAGCAGAGCGGCACAGCTGGACAAACAGCCCAATCATTTGCACCTGTTGATGGGTTTTTAGTTTCTTTCTTCCATTTTTTGAGTCCTCCATGTCACCAGAGGGTAGACTTTTTTTAAAGCCTGTAGCCACCTTAGGTCAATTCTACTGGATCTATAGGGAAATTAAAGCCCTATCATTCTAGAGTTCTGAGGAAGTAATCTCCTCTATGGAAGTTGAAAGAGTTTTGCCACAGACCTTGTCACTATGCTTAATTTTGAAACCTAACTTCTTTGGTTTATATAACTCTGTTTTCATGACATGATTGTTTGATTCAAAGGGACAATTTTATCATCTCTCAATCATTGCCGATGACTCATCAAGCAGAACTGCCTTGCATTGCAGACTTTAAGCTTGGTTCTAAATGTCTGCTAATCATCCTGGAATTAAGCAGCAATACTGATAAGATTGTGGCAAGACTGTGATATCTTTTTGCGACTGACCTTTTGTGCTAAGGTCCATTCTGGCATTCACTTCTGATGCTATAAAGTAATTGAAGCTTATCAGTTTCACAAGGCAATGATTTCTTATGAATGCAGCCCTTCTTATTTTGCATGTCAGAGGAAAGAAAGGTTTCAGGACCAGCAGGCAGCCTGATGCAGTAAATAATCCTAGCTGTCAACTGAAAAGGTCACATCATGGTGTGACAACTCCCCCCCCTAATTTGTATACTGCTCTACATCCAAGTATTACAGGGTGGTTCACAACATATTACTTGACTATGGGCTGGCCTATGCATTGAGCAGAGGCAGCAAATCTCCTGGGCACAAGTGCCACTGGGTTCATGCTAGATAAGCAATAATTGTGGACTCAGTTACATTTGGTTGCTGCAATGTGCAGTACTACCCTATGCATGTTTGCTCATGAATCCCATAGCTCAGTGGGACAATACGTGTTTTGCATGCAGAATGTCCCAGGTCCAATCTCTGGCATCTCCCGGTAGGGCAAGGAAAGAATCCTACCGAATCTTAAATATAATGCAGCTTCCTACATCCCTAGGCCAGCCCATCATGTTTTGAGAGAGAGAGAGAGAGAGAGAGAGAGATAAGGCAAATGTGAGCAATCAGTGCTTTGCAGTTCCAAGCATACTAATTCACCCACATTTTATTTGCCTCCCCCATCTTTTAAGTGAAGAAAATAAAAATAACCGTACCATAGTAGCTGAGACTCTCAGACACATCTAGCTTTATTTGTCCTGTCAGAAAAGGTCAAGAACTACACCAAAAATACTTCAGTCTCTTCTACCTACTGACATACAATACACCACAAAATTATAAATTGTCCAGTAGTTGTTCTGGGCATTGTTGTTGGGGGCTTAACCCCCCCTCCCCATGGATTTGTACATTTCAGGTGAGAAATGGATTTACAGGTGAAGTATGAAGCAGGAAGGGGGTAGAGAGATAAGGGTAAAAAGTCAGACAATGAGATTTGGCACTACAGTTTTGGCTACATTATACAACCATTTATCATAACTCCTTTTGTACTCCAGCTCCAACTCAATGGACTTTTTTTTTTTTGCAAACAAAATATACATATTTGACTTAAATAAGATATCTGACTTCCGAGTTCATTTTGTAGGACTCTCACTTGCAGTCAGTATAACACTTTGATTGGGTTTGATTCAATTCCACTTTGCTTAGTTTTCCTTTTAATTTGGTTCACTTTGGGCATAATCATCGAAACGTTGCTCCCGCTGACCACTCCCAAGCAAATTCCAGCCCATCTAATTGAATGATCATTCACTCAAAGAAGTTGTAATATTTCTTCAGTATGTTTATAACCTGCTTTCCCTCCGTGATCCATCATAAGACAGTGTACATGGAGTTCCCAGGCAGTTTCCCATTCAGGCACTGACCAAATCCAGACCTGCTTAGCTTTAACAAGGAGGCTGCATTACATGCCCTCAAACTATGCCCTGGGACTTCCTGCACCGGGCGTCAAATTGCATGGAAGTGCCCATATGATCTGGGCACCTAAGGTGGTGCTAGTAAGCCTTGACGTTTAATTGATAATGCAAGCAGGAGCAGCCAGTGGCAGGGGACAGCTTTGCCCAGCAGGCTTCCCAACGAGGAGATCACTGCTGCTAACCAAGAGGGGAGGTGTCAGTGAAGTCAAGTGTGGTTGTGGGTTCAGCAGCAGAGCTGATGTGATGTTCCTGCTGCTGCATCCACACCGTGCCAACCTCCCAGCTGCCTCAACCCTCTCCCTCTCAGTTACCAGCAGCAACCTCCACACTAGGAAGCCAGAAATGCCGCCATACCCTGCCCTGATGACCACTATCCACTCCAAGGAAGCAGCACCCCTGCTCCAAACCATGTAAAGCATATTGGGCTTAAGGGTCAATTCACACAAGTACTTTGTTTTCACAACGAGGTGGTTTTGTGCAGTCAGCTGGTGACGGAGACTGGCATGGAATCCACTCTTCTTGATGCGGTCAAAATATATACTTGTCTCCGTCCCACCAATGACAAGCCTAGCAAGACTTGTTTATGGGAAATGAACACCCTTTCCTGAAGTCTTACCAATTAAAGGTTGGCTTTGATGCAGGAAAATGGTGAGGCCATAGCTCAGTGGTAGCACACATCATCTGCATGCAAGAGGTCCTGGGTTCATTCCCTAACATCTCCAAGTACAAGGTAGTAGATGATGTGAAAGAGCTCTCTCGCTCTCTTTCTGCCTGAAACCCCAGAAAGCTGCTACCAGTCAGAACATTGGGTTAGATGGATCAGTGCTCTGACCCAGTATAAACCAGATGCCTAGATGCAGTAGCCAAGTAGTCTTGGCAAAATAAACACTTATAGACTTATAGAATTGTAGAGTTGGAAGGGACCCTGAAGATCATCTGCTCCAACCCCCTGCAATGCAGGAATCTACAGCTGCCCCATGTGGGGATCAAACCTGCAACCTTGGCATTATCAGCACTGGCTCTAACCAACTGAGCTATCCAGGCTCAGCTTCCCCCCACCCCGACTATTAGAGGAATTAGACTATTTCTTTGTGAGTGGGGAATGGTAGATGCAAAGTGGCCCCATGTCTCTTTGCCATCAGCATGGTAATAGTTGAGTATTTTAGCTTTGGGCTTCATAGCTCATGGCAAAAAGATGAATCTAGAGGGATTAAAACATATCATCCTAAGGAATCTCGCTATGTTCCAGCAAGGAAAAACATGCATATGGTACACAGGGGTTTGTCTACCTGTTCTTTCCACAACAGCTCCAAGTAACATGCAGATTATGGGGGGGGGTGTCATATAAAATAATCACTTTGTCTGAAAAATAAGACAATTGGAGGTTGAATGAGGTGAGGAACAGCTGAAGCAGAAAGAGTAGGAAAAAACCCATTTAGGTTTGCAAGTCTGAGAGGCGCTCACCTCTGGATTGTGTTCATGGAATCTTTCTTGTAAGCTACTAATTATCTACAGAATAAGCTAATTTCAGGGGCTTATCTTCCTCAAAATACTGCTCACTGCACTGGAGAATCAATCCTCCGGTGGCCTCTGAAGCAGAAAGAGGTCATTTCAGATATTCCTGTTTCAGCTTTTCCGACATCTAATAGGACAGGTATTTTAGAAAGCAAGAAGGTTGCCAACAGACCAGCTCAACTGTGGCCTGGTGGGGGTTGGGGGTGAACGTTTTAAACTCAGTTTGTGAGTCAGTATAGACATGTGAATTGGCACAAACATAAGGAGTCTCCTTTTACTGAGTCAGTCAACTGATCCATCTAGTTCTGGACCGTCTACACTGATTGGCAGTGGCTTTCCAGGGTTTCAGGCAGGGGACATTTCCAGCCCTATCTGGAGATGATGGGGACTGATCCTGGGATTTTATGCATCCAGAGCAAATGCTTTGCCACTGAGCTATGGCCCTTCCTCAGTATTTCCCTCTGAGAGAGAAACCAAAGAAATGGTAGCCACGATCCACCAGGTCATTGCACATGCAGGGGACTCCAATGAATGCACTGCGTCAAGGGTTTCCGCATCCATTTTCATTTTATAGATCAGATCTGTAAAGCCCTAAGTTGGGCTAGAGGCTCATGCCCTTTTGCCCAGCCTAGTGTAACATTCTATTGTGTCCCTCCATCAACACAAGTTTCCCTTTTAATCTGACAGACAAATTCCACAGTATTGTGTGTTGTTGCTGTTTTCCCTTTGGGGGCGGGCAAGGAAGGCCTGAGAAACTATGCTTGTGATTTCTTCTACTTCCTCGCAAATGTTCTCTGGATTTGCTTTTGTTTGTGTGTTTTTTCATTATTTTTTTTTCATTTTTCTAACAAATCTTAAGCAATGATTTTAAAAATATTTGTACATTGTTAAGATATAGTCAACACCTAACATGCCTTTGTACAGGATTTTGACTTAGTTACAAATCAACGAGAACAATGCACCAAAGGAGGGGGGGTGAGAGAAAGAGTGAAAGAGAGAGAGAGAGAGAGAGAGAGAGAGAGAAGAAAGAGAGAGAAATATCCATTAAGATGACACCTGCACTTGGAGTTGCTTTATTCTTGCTGCACTGATTGCCCAGTGCCCTCGCTGAACTAGAGCAATGCTTTAGAGACATGATGTTGTTCTTCCCCATTCCCCTCCATCCCTAGGCCACCAGCTGGCTTTAATGGCCTTCTGTCTTGGCGGCCTTGGCTTCGTGATTTACCGATCCAGAGGAAAGCCAGGGAGAGACGGACCGTGAGCTGGTTTGCTTGGCCATGCTGTAGTGGCTGATGACGGTGTAGAATCTGCCCCTGGAGTTGGAATCCTGAGCGGAATAGTAAGCATCCAGGGAGGCTGGAATGCACCGCTTATGCTGAAGGCAAGGAAGAGAAGCATGACCAGTAAGTGGCAATCTCATTTACAGAAACTTTTTTTAAAAAATAAACATTATTCATCCTGCATTGATCCAGGAAATTTTGAACATTTCCCTCCCTCCCAATATATTCAGTATCAGGGCAAGGGACAGAGGTTGCGTACACTAACCCGTTTGTAGCACAAAAAGTGAAGTTTTTCATGTCCTGAATTGTTCATGCTCATCCTCAACATGATGCTTTCAATCGAGATTGATTCTAGATCCTGCCATCCCCAAGGGTGGATGGGTGGGTGGGTGGTGACTTGTTACATGTTTGAAAACCTCCCCTCAATTAGGTTAGCCATGCCTTTTACTCCCTTCACATGTCCCAAGTGAATAAAGACATGGTGATTGAAATCTTGGTAAATGCCCACCGACAACATCATTGGAAAAGTGTGGGTATACCCTCCATTGCCAGGACCACCTACATCCGTTTTCAAATGGACACACTGCGGGGTAATGCAGAATCAATCTGAAATCAATAGATCATAGAGTTGGCTGGGACTCTGAGGATCATCTAGTCGAACCCCCTGCAATGAGGGGAATTTGCAGCTGTCCCATATGGGGATCGAACCTGCAACCTTGGCATTATCAGCTAAGCTGAGCCTTTATTCTCACAATGAAACCAGCCCCCCGCCCCCCAAAAGCAACAGATTTGATTCTGTGTGGACTGTATAGAAAAAGCAAATAGTGTACACAGTCTCCATTGATTCTAGAATAAAATATAGTGTGTGCCAGCTTGTCTTGTTAGGATGTGGAACACAGGTTCAGATCTCCAGTCAACCAGAAAACTCACTAGGTGGCAGGTGTTCATTTCACACCTGTCCATACTTAACCTTCCCCAACCTCACTCCGTCATCCCTCTCCCCCCCCCCCCGGTTATGATGAGACTTTGAAATTTGCTCTTCCAGCTTACCTCATCCACAAGTTGATCCAGCAAAATAAATCACCTCTTCCTACTAAATCCCTCTCATTTTAGAGGACTGGCATGGTAACCACCACCTTTTGTTTTCTATATCCTATGTTGCCTCAACCCTCAAGACAAATATCCTGCTAGAATAAGCCCACATTTCTCCCACTTCTCCCCAAGGGCACACATCCAGCATCTGCAGAGAGTTGCCACCAAACCTCTGACACTGCTCACAGTCTCTATCCCAAAATGTTCAGTGGCTAATCTTCATAGTGAGCGAACTCTACAGGCCAGTTTATGTGAGCTCATTTAGAAATATGTGGGGTTGGCTTCATGCAGATTTAAACCTGTCAAGTTCAAAATAATTGTGGTTGGCAGAGGGTGCTACCAACCCCTATTTCCTAAATCACTAACTGCTTTTCAGCATGTTGTTGACAAATGATGTCTTTGATCCTGAGGCGAAAATGCAGGAGTAAATTGTAGCCGTGCGGCGAATTAGATTCTGTCATTAGCAGAGACAGTTCATCCATCTCAGACTTCTTACCTTATAAACAAATCCATCTGGGCAACTGTGGTCGTAGGTAAAAGCTTTGTATACCACAAGAAATACTATGCAGGCGAGGAACGCAAGAGCCAAACTGATGAGAATAGTGACCTGCAAAAGAGGGCTAATATTAGTCTACTGACATATGCAGCATCTCACAGTTAAATGACTTATATTAACAATCAGCCTAATAGACTGCAGTCTTTATCACACTTTGCAGTGCTTAACTAAGCATGGAAATTAAATGAATACCACATCCAATATCCCCAGGTTTTTATGTCGATTTCCCCTCTAAATTAAGGCCCTGATGATGTGCATTTTTCTCTATGCATCGTCTATAAAACCTGGGTTTGTCCCTCTCCCACCTTGCGTTCTTACTGTAAACCAAAAATTGCTGCTGCATCTCCTTTGACTTCTGCTGGTTTCACACTGGAAAAGTATTTTGAAGATTTTGCCTTGTTTGGCACTTGATGGTAAGAACCTGTGTGCTACCAAGCGTGTAACTGTTAGTGGCATTGTGGGAAGGGAGAAACAAAGCACGGTCCATTCAAAAGCAGCCAAGTGCATCTTGTAAGCCTTCACCACCTCCTTTTACGTCTTCTGTTGCAGACCAAGCACAATTATGATGTGCTTTTAGATTTAGCCAAAGGAGACTTTCCCTGGAATTCGGCGAGGGTGTTTTTCTTTTCCTCCCTCTCAAAATATTGACACTCCACCTTCCCGTTTTATTTGGGTTTTTAAAGATTGGTGGCTTGCAGCATTTAAAAGAGTAAAACACTGCAGCATTTAAAAAAGACATGGACAGCCTTTTTGATTATGGAAGATCATTGTGAGTGAGAGCAAGGCGCCCCTCCCTTGGCAGGGAGTTCATCTCCAATGTCAAAGATGCTGAAGGGATGTGGTGGGAAACTTCTCCAGGCAATCTTAATGAGTAGTCACATTTGTGTGTCCTTTAAATACCCTGGTCCTAAACATAGCTAAAACAAAAAAAAAATCCTTCCAGTAGCACCTTAAAGACCAACTAAGTTAGTTCTTGGTATGAGCTTTCGTGTGCATGCACACTTCTTCAGATACACACTATTATCTGAAGAAGTATCTGATATCTGTATCTGAAGAAGTGTGCATGCACACGAAAGCTCATACCAAGAACTAACTTAGTTGGTCTTTAAGGTGCTACTGGAAGGAATTTTTTTTTGTTTTGACTATGGCAGACCAACACGGCTACCTATCTGTAACTAAACATAGCTGTCAACTTTTCCCTTTTCTTGCGAGGAATCCTATTCAGAATAAGGGAATTTCCCTTAAAAAAGGGAAAACGTTGACAGCTATGGTCCTAAACCATTAGGGCTTTAAATGTTATAAACACTGCTCTGAATTGTGCAGCAAGTGACTGTTGATGGCAGATGGGTTTGTGGTGAGCTTGACTATTGGCAGACACAAAAAGGCAGTAAAGAGTTATTCAGAACTAAACACTTCATTTTTGTGCTGTTTTATTTAGCACACAATCCCAGGCCACTGTTAGTAGCTTCAGAACCAGGTTTAAAAAAACACAACCTATCTTGTTCTTATGGAGCCCTCTCACATAAATAAGCAGGAGCGTCTCATGCAGACCTTGCTTTGGCTGAATGTATTTTTGTGCTAAGAACAGGGAGTTGAGATGAGTAAAGGGTCAGTATGTTCCTTCCACCTACAACAATCTAAGAATAGTGAAACCTTTTGTTCTGCACCTGTCTAGAGCTATTGCCGGGAAAGGTTGAACAAGTCTGATAAATATAAATATCAAAACGGCTGCCTTAGGTCTTTGCACTCGCTGCATGCCTTTGAGACCAAATTTGGACCATGTGGTGCTTCCTGAGGGGCGCCCATTTGGCCAATGTGACCCGATTCCATCACAATCCAATGCGGTAACTGACACTAGGACTGACCAGCTGTGAAAGATGATGTAATCCAGGAATAGCCAATGAGTAACCCTCCGGATCTTGTTGGACTACAACTCTCATCACCCTCAGTCAGCGTGGCCACTGGTCAGCGATGATGGGAGTTGTATTCCAACAACTTTTCATTACCCAGGGATAGCCAAACCCTAATACAGAGAAATGTGGTCATGAGCTTGTTGGCTTGTGCGTTTGCACCATCCCTCCTTCACCATAAATCAAGGGATCAGTTGCTCAAATATGCATTCACAGGAGCACAAAAAGAAAAGGAACTCTCAGAGAATTGGCTAAGTCTAACCCACACAAGGCCTTTCAAATTTAGGGAGTCGAGAGACAGTCAATGAAAATAATACACCAAAAGCATATTCAAATGTATAAAAGCATATTTACAAGATGCTTGCAGTTTACTCTGGAGATTATTGTCTGAGAGTAATTTGTAAAAGCCTCCCTGCACAATGCTAACTAATAGCATCTCAGAAGAAGAGGCAGGCTGGCAATTTGACAGAAAGGGGGGATATTATTTGTATCAGGGAAGACTCTTAACTCATGTGATCCCTCCATTTCCATTCCAAAGTGGTGCACCCTCAGCAGGACTGCATGGCACGCTTTTTCTGAATGTATAAATCTGCCATAAAAATGCAGATTAGCAATGAAATACAGAGTTGTTGCTGGGATGGAAAGCTGAATTGGAAAGGGTTACAATAACAGGCAAATATTCAAGGAGAAATGTCAGAGTTATTAACATTTTGAAGTTATGAACTCCTTGAATCTTTAGCACATATAAAATGAGCAAGCTGACATGTAGGCAGAAAATGTGCAATTCAGCACTTGAAATATTACTGGGTTGTGCTAAACATTACCAGGTTGCGTCTGGGGCACTACAGCACCTGGAAACAAGAAAAGTGATCCCTGAAAGAGCATAAAAGGAATTGTTCTGGGAACTGATCAAGGAGAATGCATGACCTTGTGGGACAGTCAAGGTGGCAGAAGGATGAAGTGTCGTGGGATGCAGTACAATCCAAACATAGGGAACGTTAGGTTGCATTGCCTAGAGGGCAGCCAACAAATCCCATGGCCAAAGCTTCAAACAGCTGAGGACCACAGCCCCTGCCCCTATCAATCCATCCCCAAAACCTGCCCCACCAACAATATTGCTTTTCTCCCTCCCTAAGAGTCCCTAACACACCCTCCAAAACTGAGCCACGTTTTTCTCCCCTCCCAACTTGTCTGCTATTCTCCCCTCCTTCACTAGCACATCCCAACCTCCAGTCCCTGCTTCTCTGTCCCACCAGACTCCATCTTCCTCCAACATTCATCTTCCTGCACACCAGCTTTTGATGATTGATAAAAGTGCCACGGCTACCAGCGCAGAACGCTTGCCATAACTATGGTTTTAAACATTCTCTTTAGGGACTTTACTACTGTTGTATCTGTCTGTGAACCTCCAGTTTTATCTCCCAGATTCAAACCCTCCCTCTTCTCTCCTGTTCTTAGCCTCCCCTCCCTCCGGGCATCCTTGGTTACTCTCTTCCCTCTTCTACACACCCACAGAAATATTCCGTGGCATTGCATTATACCTGAAAAATGCACAACACACAATTGATCTGGGTTAAAATGTCAGCAGCCATTTAAAACCAGAAAGAAAAATTGGGGGGGGGCACGGACTGGAAGGTGACAAGGGTGAGTTACAGCTCTCTGGGTACTCAAGGAAATACAGGACTTCATTAGCATTCAGATTCTGCATGATCAGGCAGCTGAACTACCTAATAAAACTCAGGGTTGGGGTGTGTTTTTTAAAGAAGTGTATGAACCTTGGCAAATCTCAAAGCAATATAAATCCCCACAAAAGAGAAATAAAAAATTAGGGAGGGAGATAAACCTCACAGACATTATAGACAGGAATCCTTTGCAGGCAGACGCTGCCCTTACCCTATCAGCAAAGATTTATCAAAGATGGTACTTAATTGCTGCACTGGATTACTATGGAAACTAATGCCCTCATTCCATGTCTCTTCAGTTGGGGTGGGGAAGTACTCTGCCTTAATTTTATCACTCTCTTTGCCAAAACAGTTGTCATGGGCTTGCAACTATGTATAAAACCTTGATTGCTGTGATACACAGTTCTAGCTTGCATATTGTATAATGCTGCTCTCTGGGGGTATGGGCTGTATTTTACCAGATTTGTTTTTGCTATATTTCATTCCTGTAAACCATCCTGGGAGTTTAAATGAGTCTCCTAAATAAACAAATATGAATACATGGTGTAGATTTATGAGACCTGTACATTTATTAAACTAAGTAGCCCTGATAATGCTGCTAACCAAGATACTTCCCCTTCATGCCATTGTCTAATTCCTATTGTTTTACATTAGATCAAAGCATTGTTCCACACCAACTTTAGTGGCATTCTAGCTCAAAAGAAACCTCCTTTACAAGTTTTCTTGATTCATACAACAATATGAATATGAAACAATCAGAAACCGATGGGCTTCCTTTCGGGCACTTGTCTTAACCAGAATACACCCATGATTTCTGTGAGATGATCCAGCTGCTCCTGCCTTTCAGTGCTTTTAGTCAATAAATGAAATCAGGGTTGTGACTGACAGCTGAGCTGTTTGAACAAAAGGAATGTCCCTCTCACCTTCAGTTCTTTTCTGTCTAGTGACTTCTGTCTCCTTGTACAGGCAACCCCCAATCTGTTGGGGAGGTTGCATTCCAGGTCATTGCACATGACAGCAGAGCACACATAAGCCAGCTCCGCCCATTATGCCCCTCCCCCATTCCTCCCCCTTTCCCACCCACTTCTGGGTTGCCAAAATGTGTGCATGTGCATGTTGCACATCAATTGGTCGTGCATAAATTGGTTGTTGTATGTAATCTCCATTTGAGATCAGCGGTTACCTATAAATTATTTTCCGCAGATTCTCCTAGACAGGACACTCAGAAGTAAGTTTCCTTGTGCTTTATAGGGCTTACTCCAGGGTAAGTGGGTACAGGATTGCAGCAGCCTAGGCTTTCTTGTGAGGAAGGGGAAGAAAGTGGCTCATGCGTCAGCACAGTTGAATACAATTGGGACTTACACATTTAAACACACAATAATCAGGCCAAATTGGTTGAAGCCCCAGAGGTGTACTAATTTGGCAAGGTGGCAGGGAGAAAGAGAGAACAAAATATGTC